CCTTGCCATCATTGCTGGCACTGCCATTGCTGCCGTTGTGGTCGTGATAATCTTCTATGTAATTGCCCGGAGATGTGGTAAGTTTATTCTTGCATTAGGGAGTTGTTGCTGTTGTTGCCGTTGTTGTGTGCTATAAGTAGAATTAAACAAGCTAAAAAGGAGAAAAAAAAACATGCAAAAGATATACAGGATTATATGCCATGATATCAAATACACAAAATAATACATATTCATATTTTACCAATATCACTAATATGACAAAAATACATCAAAACAAAATCACTAAGTTATTTTGTGATTATTATAAGGTAACTTCTAAAAAGTATCCAACTGTGCTAACCTGCAACACAGTGAATTTTACCTTTAGAACCTGTACAAACTAAAATACATCGGCTTCTTTGTTGCAAAGTAATATTCACCTTTTGGCTAAATTTGACATTTTTAGCCTTTCAGATAAATCTCTCATTTTAATTGTGCTATGAATGATTATTTTTAAGCTTTCTGTTTATCCAAAATAACAAGCTACTATAAACTGTCCATCCACTTTTGACTGTCTGTCTGTGTGTGTGTGTGTGTGTGTGTGTGTGTGTGTGTGTGTGTGTGTGCGTGTGTGTGTGTGTGTGTGTGTGTGTGTGTGTAGGTGCAACGAACGAGCAAATCTTTGAATCTTGTGGCAAACCCTTTTTTAAGCTCGCAATGGCATGCTCTGAGCTGCTTCAAAAAACGGAATAAAAGGGTTTGATTTTTTGTCTTTTGGATACTAAAGATTTTTCATTCATACTGTTTTTAATAGCTTTTAGCACACTTGTTATATCTGTCTTTCTTATATCTCTTTTGAAAAAAAAATCTGTATGCTTGAATGTTGTAGTCAATCGATTTTCTGTTTATGCTTAAAAAAATGTTCTGTTTAAAGATATTTATGAAATTGGGTGGTATGTATAACCTGCTTTTCTATAACTAATGAGCACTGTGGTGAAAATGGTCACTTCTGCTTGCATGACATGTTTCATCAAATAGACCAAATCAGATGTTCCTCACATTACATATGATCAATAAGACTGAGATCCCTCGGCTCAGACAAAAGCTTGTATGTGTGTTAGGATTTAGCCTAAACAGCAGGCACAGATACACAGAAATAGGAAGGTTTTTGATTTGATTATGTATAACAATGGGAAGAAGTAATTTGTGTTGTGATTGATAAACACTAATGTTCAAGTAAAGTTCAATAACGGGTGTTAAAAAGATAAAGATAGAATAAGTACTCAGAAATAAAAAAAAAAATGCATTGAATGACGGAAGGGGAATAATAAATTTCTGTTTGAGATTATAAGAAATCATGAAATGCAGTTATGCATAAAATGGGGGGGGGGGTGGATGATTGTTAACATCAGATGTTGTTCGTATCATAAAAACCTCTGCAGTTAATGATTATTCTCAGTTTCCCTGGGGGCATTGTCAAAGTGAGCAGAAGACTGGAAGACTCTGGTTGACATAGTTGTTTTTTTTATACCCACTAGAGATAATTTTTTTAAACTTTTCTTTAAACTCTTACATTTTGAATGTGAATATTATTAACTGATTGAGCTGTTTCATTTGTTGTTTCTAAATTGCTTAATAAAGTATCTTTTTTTTGCGATTAAAGTACATTTTGTGGACATTTCATTCTTTTGACGTAAAGATTGAACTTGGGCATGATTATTACCATCTACTTTTTTAAGGTTCTTATAAGTTATTCTAGTGTTTTAAAACTAACAGATCCCTGTGGTCTATTTTAGACCGGGGAGGGGGGGGAAGGTTAATGAATTATGCTAATAGTGAGTAAAAAGTAAACAGTATAATACAGATAAATAAAAAAACACTCCCAAAACAGAAAAAAATTATTACAAATAAATTATTACAAAATATTAATAAAAGAACTATAAAAATGGAGGCAACTTTGCCTGTGGTAGAATGTATACAATGTATGAAAAAATCTTTGCTGCAGATACTAATTTTGTGTTTTAAGATTTATGAGTTTCATGCTTTCATAGTGGCACATGGGAGAACTGACATTTTCTCAGGTGGTACACACTGTAAAAAGTTTGAGAAACACTGATAAGGTAAGTGTATGTGTGCTTTTGGAAAACATTTACAGCTGCAGTACAGAATCTTTGAAACAAGCTAGCATAAAACATTTTTAGAATATAAAAAGAGCACTCTGCTTCTCTTTACAGCTCCTCACTCCACCAGGGAACCGTTTGGCATTTTCTGTGCAAATGTGATGTATGTACTGCGGCAGTCATAAGTTTTAGTAGAGTTGTTGCTGAACCACATAAAAATATATCATTAATTTTAAACTCCCCAATCAATGATAATGTTATGTTGGAATGTTGTTAAAGAGGGTCAAAAATGTTTCAACCCAGTTTGTTTTGCAGATTCTGTAAAGCAGCTTTAATATAGGAAGGACACAACTTCCAGATTGTACGAGTAAAATAAGGTTTTTTCTCTTTGTCAGTTTAAGTGATCTAGGTAGCTCTGTTTTGGAAGTTCAGTTAACGCTAGAAATGTGTTTTGGAGTTTGTACGTGCTTTGTCTCTAGGGGCCACCGTAAATATTTATATATAAACATATGTAAATAAAATCACTTGTTTTTACATTAGTAATTCCTTTTGTGCATAATTTTATATTATTGTTAATAATAAATTAATTAAAGCAACAAAACAACCTGAAGAGCCGGCTGGGAGCCGAAAGAGCCGGCTCTCTAAAAAGAGCCGGAAATCCCATCACTAATCGCTCTGGCAGCAACACCGCTAGAGCCAGAGCAGGGGGGAGCTGGAACAAACCATTTTGGGAGGGGGGGGGTTATCTATACATTTGTTGTTAAAATGTTATGGCTCAACCAGGTATTGTATGCTTTTTATGTTTTTAGTAGTGTGTCACACAAATAGCAAATATTGTCAAAAAAAGTAAGAAATCTTTGGGGGTGCTTAAAATGTGCTAAAATCGCCCCTGGTCAGAAGCGCTCCGTCTTCACTGGACTCAGTGCAAAAAGAGATACAAACTATTAAAATAATGGTAAATGGTAAATGGCCTGTATTTATATAGTGCTTTACTAGTCCCTAAGGACCCCAAAGCGCTTTACATATCCAGTCATCCACCCATTCACACACACATTCACACACTGGTGATGGCAAGCTACATTGTAGCCACAGCCACCCTGGGGCGCAGTGACAGAGGCGAATAATAGAGAACAAAGAAACATTTCACGAAGAGTGAAAATAATATCACAACCAAAACCTTGATCTTGGGAATGTTGCTACCTGTAAACTTCATGTATTCAGTGGTTTATACAGTATGAACATTGGATTTAATTTTACTTTGTGTATGTTCATTTTTTTTTTTTTGCCATATTGAAATTAACCTTATATATTTTTAGATGATTGGTTATGTCTCCTACAGAAGAAAAGTTTAAAAGATGGATTTAGTCATAATTTCAACACATGCAGTGATAAGTAGGATGTATTCTAGATGTTGTGGTAAAAACTACAATTACGGACAAAAACTTCTACATGCATGGGCCACTTGATTAGGTACAACTGCACATTAAACTATACTGGTAGTCACTCTCAATTTGCCTATAAAAAATATAATTGCACCTGTCAGGGAAAACACTTACTGTGCAAAAAAAAAACAGACTGTTAAAACACATAAATAAAATAATAATAATAATAAATACAAATAAAATATATAATAAAACTTTTCTTCATAGTCAGCAAAGAACAAAAATTATTGGAAACATAGTCAAATTAATGAGCATGAGAGTACAGTATATTCAGCTTTGCAATATATATGAAATATATTCAGTTTTAGAATTTCTATTCAGTGTTAAATTTAGCTAGGCTCAAAGTGTTAATTCTAGTTTATTTAAATAAACGACATACTCACATGCAAAAGTGGGGAGGCACCAAGGGTGGAAAGAAGTTAATGTAAGGTGGCACATGCCACCACTGTAGATCTGGCCCTGCTTAGTACATTAGATCATGTTTTAGCTACAAATTTGCTCTCTTGCTGGAACGTTTGGTGTTCATGAAATGTAGTAAATGTGTCTGTTTGTTTACCAATTTATGAATTCATTCATCCTATCATTGAAATAACCACATGAGAGATGATATTGCAAATTAACTGCACACAATAGCAGCAATTTTAGTTGTGCAATATTTCCCATCACTGCTTGCCTTTAGTTTCTCTAGTGTGTATACAAATGCATTGTAGAATAATTTGGGTTTTAGATTGTTACACTCACACTTGTCCATTTTCTAACCAGGAATAGGCTAAACATCTTATTCCATATTTCTCTAGTTTCCTGAATAGTAGATCATATCAGATCTACTGTATGAAAAGCTTTCTGTAGGTCAAGATAAAAACCATCGCAGAATTCATCATTTTATTGATTTTAAAAGACTATGAAACTTAGATTTACTCTCATCAACACAGCGTCAAAGCAGTTTGAGAATTATTCACAACGTTTAATCTATCAGTTAATTTCTGCCACAAACTCCCCTCCATCAATCTTACTCAGTTCACAAGACATCACACACTGGACTGACTGAGAGACATGAACTACTTTTTGTGCAGGTCTTCTTGTATTAAAACAATATTTTCTTCTAAAGGAAGTAAATAAACAACAGAAAGGAAGAGAAATCCTGCCAATTCAGAAAATAGAACAAACTACATAATATGTAGTTTGTTCTATTTAAACTACATAAGACTGGCCACCTATAAAATCCAAATCTTTAAGAAATAAAAATAAATAAAGTTCCAGTGTTATTGTCGTTTAAGCAATGAAACCCTAAAACTGTTGAATTATTGCTTGATTATGTTTATGATAATTACTTACTTTACTTACTTTGGGGTCTAGTGGAAACTGTTTTGAAATAAATTTCTCTCATGTCACTCTGATCTGTTCACAAAGATTCAACAGAGAAAAAGTGCTGCATTGATTTGAATACAATTTCAAAGGTCTATTTGACTTTAATGAACTCTGCAGTGGCTCCATTTCCCCAAATATAAAGTCCAGCATAGAGCGGCTGAGTGAATGTGGTCTGGACTCTGTGGAGGAGAGTCATGGTTTCAGAGACGCTGTAGAAAGACAGAATACCTGCTCTGTGATCCAGGTACACTCCTACTCTGGAGGACCGAGGACCTGAGAGGACAGTTGGGACATTGTTGTGAATAAATGTATATCTGTTTGTGACACAATATAATGCCCAAGATTTGTTATTGTTTCCAAATCCACATTCATAGCCCCCCCCTGCTCTGCTGATATTCTTGTATGCGACTGCTACACCAACTCTCCCTCTCCACTCCACCTCCCAGTAACAACGTCCAGTCGGACTCTCTCTACTCAGGACCTGAGGCCATGCAGTGAATCTGTCTGGATGATCAGAATAAGACTGTTGTTGCTTCATAAATGTTACTTTTCTGTTCCTCTCAGATAATAACAGATGTCTGTTTGCTGTGTTTGGATCCAGTGTGATTTCACGTGAATATTTTAAGAATTCAGCTCTGGTCTTTGGCTCTGCTGGTGACAGTAAAACATCCTCTTCAGTGACTGTCAGTGAGATGTTTGTCCATTCCTCTCTCAGAATGTCCTGTAGTTTATCTCTGGTCTCTGACACAGCTGCTGTCACATCCTCAAAGTAGCTCAGAGGACGAATATTGATGCTGGATGAGTGTGTAGACTCACTGAGTGCTGACAGTGAGGGGTAGTTGTGTAGAAACTGGTTGTGATCCTCTGTGTGTGAGAGCTGCTCCAGCTCGCCGTCTTTCCTCTTCAGCTCAGCGATTTCCTGCTCCAGCTTCTCCTGAAGCTCTTTGACTCGACTCACTTCAGTTTCCTGCTGGGATCTGACCTGCTGCTTCACATCAGAGCTTCTTTTCTGGAGGAGACGGATCAGCTCAGTGAACATCTTCTCACTGTCCTCCACTGCTTTATCAGCAGAGCCATTGATGGCCTCCACCTCCTGTTGAAGCAGCTTCACATCTTTCTCTCGCTCCTGGATTCTCTGCTGGATGTTTAGTCGTCTCACCTCGAGCTCCTTCTGCTTCTCAGTCCTTACTGCTGCAGCTGGGACTGTTTCATGGCCTTTATGTTCATCCATTGTGCAGAGATAACAGATACTCTGCTGATCAGTACGACAGAAAATCTTCATCACCTCATCATGACGAGAGCAGATGTTCTCCTGGAGCTTCACGGAAGTTTTAACAAGTGTATGCTTTTTAAAAGCTTGAGATTCATAGTGAGGTTGGAGGTGTTTCTCACAGTAAGAGGCCAGACAGACTAAACAGGACTTGATGGCTTTCAGCTTCCTCCCAGTGCAGACATCACAGGCCACATTTTCAGGTCCAGCATAGCAGTGATCAGCTGGAGCAGCTTGGAGTCCAGTCTTCTTCAGCTGCTCCACTAAAGCTGTAAACATGGTGTTTTTCTCCAGAAAAAAAAAGTTTCCTACACCCTACATTTAAATATGTATCACTCTGAACTTTGCCAAGATGTGTCACCCTCATTTAAATTGTAGAAGACTGGACTTTGGTTATATAAGACGATAAGAGAAAATAATGTATTTAAATTTACTGCCATGCATTTGCTCTTTTCTGCCAACAAGTAACACTGATAAACCCAGCTAAACAAACCATGCAAACAAACAGTAACATCTCCACATAAACTAACAACACCTGCACAGCAAATTCAAAAGTGTTAAATGTTTTGGTGTTAATAGTCTTCTTGCAAAAGTAGAGTTAATTTTACTCTAAGTAGAGTCACATTCTTTTAATGTAAGTCCGAGGTGTAAAATGACAGTAGTTAAAATCGAGTGTTAAAAATGAGTGTTTCTATGTCAAATCTGGAGGTGTTACAATGGAAACATTAACTCTTGACCTCTTAACTCTGAACTCCTACAGGGGCTATGACACCAACAGAGTAAATTCACAGACTCCGCCCCCAGCACGGCTCCAATCGAAGCTGAAGTGAAGCCGTTTCAGAACATTTTGCTCTACATATTTGAGTTGTTTGCCATGCTTGGTAAGTCATTTTTTCAAAGATTGTTTCAATTGTTATTATGAGCTTTTACTTCTGTGGCTCTTTGGAGTTGAGACAAAGCTGTGTGAAAGGCATTAGCCATGTTGCTCGCTGATAGCATAATATTCTGTTTTAGCTAGCTGAAAGGTATTGTTTGCGGGCAAATACCACAGCCTTGAAAAAAAGCTTGCATGTGAATTTTCAGTCAAACTTTTGGTCAAATACACCTAAAACAATGTGTAGAATGTGAAACGTTGGTATAATGGTGCTACTTGAAGCCTGAAAACGATCGCCCATAAAAAAAACAAAAACGAGCAAACAGCAGTAGCAGGCGTCCTGACTGGGTTCTACGTTAGCATAGATCCCTCCAGAGTTTTGTGCACACGGTTTAGGTAAAAATGAAAAAGGTTGAGGTTTTTACATTTAGTTCAGTATTACCTGTTGTCTGTGTCTTTGTCTTTTGGGAAAATACTTTACACAAGTAATGGCTCAAAGAGGATTCCTTTTTTTTTACTGTGCTGCAATTGTTTACTGGATTATTTGTGCCATTAATTAGTGTCAACTAATTTTTATTCAATCTCCGCACAGGATATGCTTGTGAAGATGGAATATGGGGGAGAGCAGAAGTGCGTTGAAGTTCCACAAAGGGATGAATGAAGGACATGCATATTGTATTGAAGAAATAAGTGATGAGAATGCTGTTATTTACATTTACCATGTCAGACCTTTTGATAAACAAAATTCTAATGAAAGTGAGAACATGTACACTGTTACATCTTTCACAAAATGTTTTGAAATTGTGGTGCACAGTTCAGAATAAATGTTTTCAAAAACCATTGCATCTTTTTAGTAAATGTTTATTTCCAAAAGAAATTTCTAGAAGTTCAGAACAGTAACATAGAATGAATTATATATATATATATATATATATATATATATATATATATATATATATATATATATATATATATATATATATATATTTTTTTTTTTTGTGTGTTTTAGTTATCAGTTTGTTGTTTGTTTTATGTTTGTTTGTCTGTTTGTTTATTTTTTGGTTTTGAATTGTACACTGTATTATGTTATGTAATTATGTACTATTTGTGAAAATGAAAAGGAAAAAAGTTAAAAAAATAAAAAAATTAACACTCTCTGGTGTGGACCCATATAGACACTTTAATAGTGTTGAAATCAAATCCGACAGTGTTAATTTGGACATGCTGGATTTGCTGTGTGCAATTAAATAAACCTTAAACCATAGCAATACCTACAACTGCAGATCACAACGTTTGCATCTTAACTAAACCCTTAAATACAACACTTAAAACACAAGACAGGAACTCCTAAAGCTGCCTGTAATAAACCACCTCAGGAGCTGCAGCACCTTCCTTGTAGATTTTGCAACTACTGCAACATATACAATGAATCACTGGAACTATTTCCACTGAACCTGCAAATGATAACGCTCCAGATCAACCGTGCAATCATCAATGCAAGAAGAGAACACTATCACTTCTGCAACAAAATAACTCCTAAAACCAGCAATCTTAACCAAAGGTTGTCCTGCATTTATCTTTACAGAATATCGTGACCTGCTCAACCTGTAAGCCAAACCAGCGCCCCACGCTTCTCATTTATGAGTTCTCAGTAGTGATTTTTTATTTTTCTGAACAACCATTGACAGACTCTGCCACACAGTGACACATGTCAATGTTTTGATCACCAACAATGCTGAGAGAACATAAAGGAAGAAGGTGCTAAATCTGGCAGCTTAGTGCTTGAAAGAACTTCTGCAACTAAACAAACTTTGGTCAGCTCAGTTCTTATGTTCAAAACTTATGTTTAATGTTTTCACTGATCAATAATTTTAGAACTGACTCTGTGTGTGTGTGTGTGTTTGTTTGTTTGTTTGTTTGTTTGTTTGTTTATTTTACCGAGTTTTTATTAAATACTAAGGTAAAAAGAAAAAAAACAGTCTATGAGCAATACCTCATTAAGAATCATTCAAAGCTACATGTGCAGTACTCCGTACAGCTTACATCCTTAGAGAGTAACCACTTCAAGCATTCACCCTTTGAGGTTCACACCAAGAAAACTGCAATTTAAGAAATAATCCTTTGCATTGTTTATTCCTTTAGAACAACAGCAACAAAGTTTAGATATTTTTTAACCAACTCCAGCTTCTCGTGTTCCTTCTTCCTGATGTTGCTGTCATTCGGAACCGCTACATCGATCACTACGGCCGTCTTCTTCTGTTTGTCTACCACCACTATGTCCGGTTGGTTAGCCACCACCATTTTGTCCGTCTGTATCTGGAAGTCCCACAGGATCTTAGCTCGGTCATTCTCCACCACTCTTGGGGGCATCTCCCATTTTGACCTCGGGACTTCCAGGTTATACTCGGCACAGATGTTCCTGTACACTATATATATAGAGAGAGAGGGGGTTCAGTCTAATATGTGTGCTCCAGTGAGACATTAGACTTCAGTAAAACTATGCAGTTACCTAATTATGCCCAGTGTTTAATCTCCACTGAGAGCTAAAACTCAGTTTTAAAGCTGTGTGCTGGTGAGCGTAAACTGTGACTATCACCATGTTACATGGGCGCTACAGAAACATGAAACAAGGCAGAATTGTTATTAAAATGATTGCATTGTTGTCCGAAGACATTACTGCTACTAACACATCCATATCTGCCACACAGAGCTCCACATGTACTGCTCATTTAGAACAAATGACTGTCAGCAAACGAGGACACAATCACACAGTCCACTGTCTTTGTTAGATGCGCGCCTGTTTCAGCAAAGTTCACAAACTCCCTCCAACACAACGTCCGGCCCACTGTGCGGCTCCACCAATGAGATCCGAGGGCCCGCGCAGTGGTATTAGCATACAGCCTGTATAAAAAGCGCCGCTCTCGGTCAAACAGCTCGTTCGTTACTGCAGAGTATCGAGGAGAGAAAATGCCTGAACCTGCGAAGTCGGCGCCCAAGAAGGGCTCCAAGAAAGCCGTGACCAAGACCGCCGGCAAGGGCGGCAAGAAGAAGAGAAAGACCAGGAAGGAGAGCTACGCCATCTACGTGTACAAGGTGCTGAAGCAGGTCCACCCCGACACCGGGATCTCCTCCAAAGCCATGAGCATCATGAACTCGTTTGTCAACGACATCTTTGAGCGCATCGCAGCCGAGGCATCTCGCCTGGCCCACTACAACAAGCGCTCCACCATCACTTCCAGGGAGATCCAGACCGCAGTGCGCCTCCTTCTCCCTGGTGAGCTGGCCAAGCACGCCGTGTCTGAGGGCACAAAGGCCGTCACCAAGTACACGAGCTCAAAGTAAACTGACTGCATCTCACACGTCAACACAACGGCTCTTTTCAGAGCCGCACACGTCATACTGACGAGCAGAATTCCAACTGTTAAACATGCAGCTCACTATGTTACAACTACTGTAATCGCGGATGTGCACCTTTGTGTCACTGGGTGCTATCAATCCGCTGTACCGACCCCCAGTCAACAGAAATGTGTTCCGGTTTTTACTTTGTAGTCACTTTGTCTTTCTACGAACACAATTAATGCGACTTTTTATTTAACACTTGGTTTTAGTTCAAAGTGTACTTTTCTTCTTCTGATATGCAAAGTTGAGCAGTCATTAGATTAAAATGCTTTGGCACAAAACTAGTAGCAACATTCATGTTGCAGCTTTTCATTGCATGGTCGTGTCTGTATCGTTTCAGTCGTCTGTATTCATCTTGTTGCAGTTTTCTGCTTCTGCTGTGAGGTCCCACCTCCATGCACTTACACAATTATTCGCTAGACGGGTATTTCTTATAAATGATATCATATTAGGGAAATTTTCCTATACATATCTTTGACCTGGAGTAGAATTGATTATGAAATGGAAAGAAAAAATGCTTATGAACTTACAAATTAGCAACATGATCCGTTTAAGGTAACCCTTTTCCATTTTTATGGAATTTGGAATTAAGAGAATTTGTTCCACTGTGCGAAAAGGCTGGAGTGCAGAAAAACTGGTACAGATGCAGTTACAGTGTACCTGGGCCCCACCAACTATCAGCTAAAGAGAAGAAATAAATAAAATTGCTGCACATTTTCTAGACCCGTCTGTGGTCCTGTCTGTTATATGCAGCACCATGCTCTTGCTTCACTGTTAAAAGTTATCAACTACATTTTAAAATGTGCTATTAAACACATAATACATTTATAGATGCATATTATTATTCATGTATGAAATATTGAGTTCTATTGTTATTTTTAAAGCCTACACTGGCTGTTGTAGTGGAGGGACACATTTTATTCCAAGCTGAGCGCGTACTGCTATTTATTTTTTACCATGTATTTATTTCATTACTCGTTTCATAACCATTTTGATTCATGTACATTTGAACATATGGGCCCTCCCAGCTGGAGGAGAAGAGTCAGTGGCTGCCCTGTGTCCCCCCCCTCAGTAGTTTTCCACTAAAGCTGAGGATGAAAGTTGCGATTTGGTGCGAGCCTCCCTTCGGTTAGACATAATTTGTCAGTAACAAAAGACAACATTTCCACATTTAGAGAGTAGAAGAGTGGGCGGGGCCACTGAGCTTCGAGCGGTCCAGCGATCAGTCTGTTTTCTTTTACGTCCGCCGAGCACAGATAATAACACGGCTCCGTGGGGTTGAGATTCATTCGACTTTGTTCGTTCAGAGAAGAAACAATAACCATGAGTGGACGAGGCAAGGGCGGCAAAGGACTCGGCAAAGGAGGCGCAAAGCGTCACCGTAAAGTTCTCCGTGATAACATCCAGGGCATCACCAAACCGGCCATCCGCCGTCTGGCTCGCCGCGGCGGAGTGAAGCGTATCTCCGGCCTGATCTACGAGGAGACCCGCGGTGTGCTCAAGGTGTTTCTGGAGAATGTCATCCGCGACGCCGTCACCTACACTGAGCACGCTAAGAGGAAGACTGTGACCGCCATGGATGTAGTGTACGCTCTGAAGAGGCAGGGCCGCACTCTGTACGGCTTCGGCGGGTAAACTCCTTCACCCCAATCCATCAAACGGCTCTTTTAAGAGCCACCCACTTTCACTTTCAGAGCTTTGTTCTGCCATCTTGTTGGGTTTTTTATTTTTTTTAAATCATGATTCAGGCAAGTCCTGAAAGTTATCAAAATATCTGCCAGTATCCCCCAAGCAACTTCTGAAGTAATACGTTATAACTTAACAATTACCAACTGAGATTCCTAAAATTAACTCTTCATTTTTCTAGAGTCTATAAAATTAACCCGTTTATCATGTGTGCTTTCCTTTCTCCTTAACTGACAGAGCCACAAACTGAACTTAAAGTTACAGACCTATTCAATACCACTATTTCATTAAACTTCCATATAGCAGGAGTGTAGACCAAAAGAAAACTGAAAGATTTCACTGATTAACCAGTTTATTTGTAAATGCTTTTCTGCCACAAATCCGCTTAAAGCAGAAGTACTTATTAGTGATGGGATTTCTGGCTCGGCTAACTAAAAAGAGCCAGCTCTTCAGGTTGTTTTGTTGCTTTAATTTATTAACAATAACAAGAAATTATGCACAAAAGGAATTACTACTGCAAAATAAAGTTTTTTTTTTTTTTATTTATATATGTGTGCAGTGGCCCCTGGAGACAAAGCATGTACAAACTCCAAAGCATATTCCTAGTGTTAATTGAACTTCCGAAACAGAACTACCTAGATCACTTAAATTACAGAAATGAAAGCATATGGGTATTGTTTGTGTATTTATACACAAGCACTCATATATATTCAAGTAATTTTTTAAAAAAAGTTCATTTACCTGTTACTACCACACACTAAATCCGGTCGTTAGTACTTCCTGGCTTGTGTAGCCACTAGGTAACAAAAGCTCAACACCGCGCCGAGCATCCTGGAGCACTTCTGTTGTGTTTTGTACGTGTTTTGGAGTTCGTATGTGCTTTGTCTCTAGGGTCCATCGTAAATATACTTTTTATTCACTCCACATAAAATGAAATAAATCATATATTACAAAAATCAACTATTCAGTTCAACTTTTAACTATTTACATTTTCATCTTTTTCCTTTTAAACAAATTTAAAGTGAAACAACACCAAACACTGCAAACCACAACACAATTAAATATAAATTATAATATGAAAACAAAAAGAAGATGCATATTCTCTGTCATATGGACCTGCATGAATAAACTTTCTGAATCCTTTATCATCTGCAACTGAAAATAGTTGTGGATGATTACTACACCTTTCTAATGTGACGTTGTTGTCCGTGGCTCTCTTTCCCCCTCTCTTCCTCCTGATCTGTTCCTGTGCTACTGAGATTGTGACTACCGCCCTCCCCTCCTTCCCAGCGCAAAGCACAACCCACAATCATAAGAAAAGTGAAAGAGAGAGAGAGAGAGAGAAAACAACCCACATCTTGCGATAAGGAGCCGGCTCGCATTGTTCACGTCAAAGATCCGGCTCTAAGAGCCATTTCGTTCGCAACCGACACATCACCAGTGCTTATGTAGTATGTCTTTTTTTTTTTAAGATAACCAACCCACCTTTGATCTAGTACAGCAGGGGTCCCCAATCCCAGTCCACGAGGGCCGGTGTCCCTGCAGGTTTTAGATCTCACCCTGGATCAACACACCTGAATCACATGATTAGTTCATTACCAGGCCTCTGGAGAACTTCAAGACATGTTGAGAAGGTAATTTATCCATTTAAGTCAGCTGTGATGGATCAAGGACATCTAAAACCTACAGGGACACCGGCCCACGTCAACTGGGATTGGGGACCGCTGTAGTAGAGGGTGGACATGCGTGGATGAAGCCCTATGAAGCTTTCGAAGCCTCTTCCTGATGTGTGCCTGAAATTTTATTTTCACCAACATGTCTGTTTAAACTGCAAACAAAGTATCAAAGGCAACTGTTAATGCTCTGTGATGAAACGACCCACATCGCAAACAAGAAGTTTTGCCAGATTGTCTACGTTGACGTGCTTCCAGGTAAAGAAAAAAAAAAAAAGAAAAAAAGGAGAAATATACTTTCCTACATTTGCAATTCTACATGCTTTTAAACAATTTAAAAAGTACAATTCATAGTTTGTGAATTACTTAATGTTTAATTACTATTGAACAAATGACCAACTAAGAATTTCAGACTTTAGTTTACTTCAGCCATATTCCATATAAATCAGGTATCATACAAAAATAAAAAAAAGCTTGAAATACAGTTATGACAATAAAATTATATGACTTTAAGGACCTAACATTACTTCAGTTATAGGACACTGTTTTGGTTCTTCTGTCACGTGACAATAGGACATAGATGACAAGAATAAAATGGGTAGCTGCTTCAGTGCTTCTGTCAATTCGTGAAGATCTTGATATGTCTCAAATGAATCCTATGAATAGGTCAGTACCATTAGGATGAAATTGTGTCACCAACATGTTAACGTTAGATAACATTTTAACAGCCTCTGCACTCAGAAAAATAAAGGTGCCAACTGGAACCAAAAGTGGTTCTTTAGACTGATGCCATAGAAGAACCTTTTTTGGTGCCACAAAGAACCTTTCAAACAATGGTTCTTTGAAGAACCATTTCTTTCAGTGGTTCATTGAAGAACCTTTAAAGGTTCCCCAAAGAACCATTTCTTGATGGTTCTTTGGGGCACCTTTAATGGTTTTTCAAAGAACCTTTTTAAAAATGGTTCTTTAAAAGAACCATTTTAAAGAACCTTTTTTGAGTGGTTCTTTAAAAAACCATTTTAAATCTTTCAAAATAAAATGCATCATAAATTGAATTTGAGTAGGGTAAAATAAATACGAGCACAGCATAGACGTATATTAATGGTTTATTGTCATTTTGTAGTATACCAAAAGACAAAAAGGCATTTTAACCCTCAGCACAACATCACTACTAATACATGTCACATATTAGTGTTTTAAACAGTAATAATAAAATATATTTGCTATACTATAAATAAATATATATAAATACTATAGCTACAGATAACACAACAAATAATACATGTATTGTTTAATTAATAAAACATCAGAAAGTGATAAAACACATTAGAAATAGAAATAGCTTCATAACAGACCAATAAATCAACACATTATCAGCAGATGTTTGCATGTTCAGTAAAAATATTTCAACAAGTTTATGATTAAAATGATCAATGAACTTCAGCCTTACGCTATGTAATGTACGTTTCATGTTGTACTCATTGTCCTTTGTTAGTCCAGTTTAGGACAATGTCTCTGACGTATGTATCATATCAAATATATGTCATATCAAAACAAGCCCACACCTGCAGTTGTTTCAGTTTTTCACTGGTGTTTCCTGTCAGCTGGTCAACCTCTCAGGCGGACATCCATATCAGCCAACCAAACGACAAGCTCCTCCCTTTGTGCTTCAAATCCCTCCCACTCTGAGACAAGGAGCTGAAAGAGAGAGAAAAGAGTCAATTATAAAGAAGAGAGAGAAGTGAAACCCTCCTCAGAAGGTCTGACTCGCATACCTACAGTTGACCTGTGATGGACTCCAGTTTGGCGTTCACATCATCCCTTGCTGTTGCCAGCAGCCGAGTCTGCAGGGTGCCCTGGAAGAGCTGAGTTAATGTTCGACTCCTCCTGGTCAGGCTCTCCAACTGGATGAGCCGAGGTCTCCCCTCTCGCCGCTGCCTCTGAACACAGAAACACAAATTGCATCTGAAGCAGGAGGTGCAGATTTTTTGCTATTCTTTTCTAAATCCAGGCTAGATCACGTGGAGGTATTTGGAAAACTTTTTTGGCCAGCGGACAACTGTTGTCTTGCAGAAAGTCAAATCAAACATATGCGATACACAATCAATTCACAAGAACACATTATAAAAAATAAGTCCAGTTCTTGCCTGATTTCAAATGAATTCTGCATCAAAACAGGGTGACAGAAGTAAAACGAGTGCACAAAGCCTCACTTTGTACAAGCCTGCTATTACAGTTTTCCTCTATGCAGACGACTTTCCTGTTTTCAAGGCACAACTTGGATCTGCTGTATGAATCTTATGGATACACACTAAATGAAACAATAGTGTGCACGACTCCAGATTCTGATCCCTCATCCTAATATGGTCCCAACATAGCAACAGCAATAAAGCAAATGTTGAGGCTTCAAGTCCATAAACCAATGGCTGAAGTGGGTTTTATCATAAGGGTGATAAATATACAGATTTCAGTCTGTCTTAGAGATTTGATGTTCATTTACCTGCAGATGCACTATACGTGCCTGCTCTATGGTTTTTCACAACATTTTGCACATCACTATTTAATACAGGAAGTACGTGAACTAAAACAAGTCATCTTTCTTTGTGAGAGGACCATATTAATGAAACCAACCTCAATGACATCAAAGGGATCCCTAAAGATGCTCCTGCTGCTTCTCTTCCTCCTCATCCTAAGCTTCCTTCTTCTTGTCCTCGCCTTCCATCCAATTGTAATTCAACCTAATTGTGTTTCTCCCCCTCCTCTTCCTCATTTTGTTGGAGCTGTGAACACAGTTAATGTGAATCTGGATTAATTTGTGCAAACAAGAAAAATCTACAGCTTTTTGGTCAGAGGTGCTCTTGTGATTTAAGCCGGGTAGAGTAGATTTATGTGTTGATGCTACCTGCTTCAGCTCTGGCTGCTGAGTGATATTTACACCCTGGCTGGATTACAAACTTTAACCATGTGCTGAACTTTGGCCCAGCGTTGATACCTCTTGTTAGTATAACGACCTCTTCTTAGCTTGTATGTATGATGGTGGATAAATGAAATATACAAAAAAATTAACTATATTACAAAAGAACATCTATCTTGGAAACATCAAATGACCGGAGCATAACTTGTCAACTAGTCCGAAACTAACTTATGCAGGAACAGTCAAAGACACACCTCCTCATGTCACATTTCTATTCATTTCTATATAATTCGATTAGACAATAAAGAGTTATCTAATCTAATTATTCATTCAAAACTCTTATGCATAGCTGTATTTTATACAGCTCATACAGAATTCAAAGTACAGGTTCATGTGAGTATTTAATGTACGGCTCAGATCTACAGAATTTCAGAGTTTCTAGAGCAGACACAGAGCTCACGCCACAACAGGCTTCAGGCGCCATTTTAGTGACTTTAACAACATATTAATTTTAATTTCGGTCTAGCTGACATTAGGTTATGTACGCAGCACGCAATTGAACCACATATTTTAGAAGCCAAAGGTTCAAATTAGCTGGGAGCAGCTTCACTTAATTATAACAGTGGTTTTGTTAGGAAAACCGTTGGATACTAAATTGCGTTGACCTCAACGGCTAACGTATCTAGCTAATCGCTACTGTTAGCACAACATTAACAGTAAGCTACAATGACGACTAACAAAAACAAAACCGTAATAAGGTTTTAATGAAAATGTTTTACCTTTTCTAACAGTCCCAGAATCCACAGCTTCAAAGTCCAGCAGGTACTGAAGACTGTTATCCGTTTCGCTGTCACCGTCCGTGAGGTTTTTTTTCCCGAAAGGTCAAGGCCCGCCGCTCGCACACTCTGTCTGCGCATGCGCATCCCAACGACTGACCCCCTCCGTCCGCTCCCTGTAGGTTATAGTATGACGTGTTCTGACATCACTCTCTCTCTCCCTGTCATTTATTTGGCTCGAAACACATATTAACAAATTGCTCAGTGATGAACAACTACTCAGATCATTTACCTAAGCTGTGTGCTTTGTCAAAACGAAGTGTGTGTTCATTACACTGACATTCTGTTCTGCAATTGTTATTTACTTGTATTTTATAATTTGACTTTACATACTGCTGGGTGGTTTGTAAAGTTTATTATTATCATTATGCTATATTTTCAAAAATATATAATAATCTCAAAAGTAATGCCTTGGAGTAGAAAATAGTAATGCTTTATTAAAATTTAAAACTAAAGTACAGTATTTGAATGTGTGTATTGTGTCTACTGTTTGCAAATATTTCTAACTTTTATTTGAATATTCAGTTTCCTACCATCTTCTCTTAAAGGGTAATTGCCAGGTATCCCGCCCTTCCCCTTTGCACACACATGCACACAAAGAAAAAACACAGTATAATTCACAGCCTCATTATAGTGAATAAATATTTATGCCATTTACACCATCAAACTTAGATTGCTAAGGATGAAGAACCTTTTGTTCTTTAAAGAACCATTTGTAATAGCTGAAGAACCATCCACAAAATAAAAAGGTTCTTTGACGTATGATGGTTCTTTAAAGAACCATGAAGACATCTGAAGAACCATTTAAGAACCATAATTTTTCTGAGTGTGCAAACCAATAATAACATGTGTAGTTTAGAGTATTTTATAGCATATTTAAACAATAGGAGTCTACGCTTTATACGTCAGAGCACTTGGCCTATCATATCATCTAGTACAAAGCACTGAAATGTGATGAGCTTTGGAAAATAATTAATGAAACCAAAAATGAAGGTGTAATTCAATATAAGTATGCAAATAAAGATGAAAACCTTTCAATAGTTAAAAATATACAAGACAAAATATTATCTGAAAGCATGAGAGACGTGGTATGGCTCATCTCGCTCGGGCGCCTCCCTGTGAGGGCGGTGGTACAGTGGAGTTGTTTTGTTACCACCATGAAATGTCCTATGACAGACTGTGATGAAGATGAGACCCTAGAACATCTATTGGATTGTTATAGGACAACTGAGGTCAGGCAGAAGATGACAGAGATTGGCTATGATGTGGATGTCAATATTAAAGCAGTTAAATATGGTTTGTTTAAAGAAAAAAATGTGTGATGACAAAAGGAGACTCTTTTGCTTAGTAATGTGTGTAATAAACACACATATTTGGAAAACCCGTGCCAAAGGAGTACTTGAACAAAAGATAAGTAGTGATGTGGTGAGTAAACATCATTACAGACCTGCGGAGAAGACGAACAATGGACCTGAAACTTGGGAAAGTTTTCCCCTGGAACGAATTAAAACTGTAAGTCTTGTGAACGCTGTGTGGACTCAGATTTTCCTCCTTGTTGTATGTGCTCATGGTTTTGTATATGTATGTGTATGTGCATTTTATATGTAAATAAAGTTAAAAAAAAAAAAAAAAGAAAATATGTGAATTATTAAAGGAGGGAGCCATTACAACAGCATACAACAATTCATGCTTTTAAAAAAAGAAAAAAAAATTAAAAAACGTTTTGTAATGGAAGTCGGTGAATTCCATGTTCATGCCGACTGTCGTTTCCAGAATAAAAAGAGCATGAAGATTGAAGTGTGAGTACGAGATACTACTGCTACTACTGGAGCGAGCTCTTGGTGTGAGTGAGGTGACTCGGAAAAGAGCCGTTGTTGGTAGGAGAGCGTGCAGCTTAAGCTCTCTCTCCGCGGATGCGGCGAGCCAGCTGGATGTCTTTGGGCATGATGGTGACCCTTTTGGCGTGGATGGCGCACAGGTTGGTGTCCTCGAAGAGTCCGACCAGGTAAGCCTCGCTGGCCTCCTGCAGAGCCATGACAGCAGAGCTCTGGAAGCGCAGGTCGGTCTTGAAGTCTTGAGCGATCTCGCGGACCAGGCGCTGGAAGGGCAGCTTGCGGATCAGCAGCTCGGTGGATTTCTGGTAACGGCGGATCTCGCGCAGAGCCACGGTACCAGGCCTATAACGGTGAGGCTTCTTGACGCCTCCGGTGGCCGGGGCGCTCTTACGAGCAGCCTTGGTGGCTAGCTGCTTCCTGGGGGCTTTGCCGCCAGTGGATTTGCGAGCGGTCTGCTTGGTTCTTGCCATTCTTCCTCACTTTTCTTTCCCTGTGATACGAGCAGAAAATGTAGCGAACAGAGGAGACTCGCTGCTCTTATACTGTGTGACTGGCTGTGACGCGGTGCCGCTCCGGCTCGTGATTGGTGATGGGCTCCACGTGGAGCACCGCCCGCCTCGGTGTGTGCTGCTCATTGGAGAAAAGTGCATTGATGTTGCGCGCTGCCGCAAGCCTCTCTGCGATTGGTGCGTGACGAAGCTGCGCGCGCTCTGCGGAAATATAAGCGAGGCTTTGAGCTGATCGGACCACATTTTCTTTTAGTCTCGATACTACGAAGAAAAGAACCTGTCAAAATGAGTGGTCGCGGAAAGACCGGAGGCAAAGCCAGAGCTAAGGCCAAGACCCGCTCATCCCGTGCCGGGCTTCAGTTCCCCGTGGGTCGTGTCCACAGGCTGCTGCGTAAAGGTAACTATGCCGAGCGTGTAGGAGCCGGCGCCCCCGTTTACCTGGCAGCTGTGCTCGAGTACCTGACCGCTGAGATCCTGGAGCTGGCTGGCAACGCAGCCCGCGACAACAAGAAGACTCGTATCATCCCGCGTCACCTGCAGCTGGCTGTGCGCAACGACGAGGAGCTCAACAAGCTCCTGGGGGGAGTCACCATCGCTCAGGGTGGTGTGCTGCCCAACATCCAGGCTGTGCTGCTGCCCAAGAAGACCGAGAAGCCCGCCAAGGCCAAGTAAACGCAAAGCGCTCGGCTTCACCAACAACAAAGGCTCTTTTAAGAGCCAAACACTTCTCTCTGAGCAAACATCCTTCTTTCTGTTAGTGTTTGTAACAACTTGTGTCCTGGGAAATGTAGATTATGCATCTTGATTTACTTTGAAGTGTACCTTCATGTCATCTTAGTCACGGACTGAAATCCACCTTCAAAAAAAAAACTAGAGCTGTGTGCGTTTGTTTTATTCACAAAAGAATAGACTAAACAAACTTTAGGTCTTGATATAAAACTACAGCAAAAAGCTCTGTCTCCTGCGTTGTGGTGTGGGGTCGTGTTCAACCTCATTGCTCATCTTACTGATTAAGAATACATTGGATGTCACTAATAGCTTAACTGACTGGACACTCATCATGGTTCACTCACTTTATAATTAAAACAGTTTCTAAGCTCATGGAAACAGACAACACGCAGTTCAAACCTTGTTAAACACAGGAAAATATAACAACGTGAGGTGGAGAGGGACAGGTGGAGGAAAATGTGCAGCTGTTTGCGACGTGTTCAGCGCTGCTGCTGAATTTGGGACATTTTGTCAAGGCACTTACATCTACGCTTAGGGTTTTGTGTCTATTGTGAGTAGAATAAAACAATTTGAAGAATAGAATGTGTTTAGGTTTACTTGGATAATAGGGGGCAGCTGGTGATCAGAAGAACAGGAAATGATTCCTAAGTGTGGGTTTTGTTAGAATGTCTTTGTCAACCTGTTTTAAGGACAATAGTGGATTTTTTTTTTCTCAAAGCTTTTCATGCGACCTTAAACCTCTCAAGAATGACACTAAGTTGCTGAACCCTGACCTCTGACGTGCCAAATCAGTTGGTTCAGCTATAAACTTTGGTGTGTAACTGTATAGTATGAAAAATGCATTGACAGTGGGGGTCTGCCTGTTATAAAGTGAGTGAAATCTGCCTCAGCCAAGAACAAGAAGCCACAGTTACTAGTCTGGGAAGAGGACAGTGGAGGGGGACACAGGGCAGCCCCGGACTCTTCTTCAGCTGGGATATCCAAAGAATCGGTGAGGTCAAGAAGTAAACTCAAGACTATATTTTGAAATAATATATAGTTTTTTAAACCTACAAATGATTAACAGAATGGTTTTATTGTGTTATTATAGGAGTTGTGTCGCCAAATAACAACATAAATCGCCTTGAGGCGACTTATGTTGTGATTTGGCGCTATATAAATAAAATTGAATTGAATTGAAAATAATTTAATTCCCCTCATCCTTCACGCTACAGAGCTCCATGGTAAAATAAATAGCAGTACGGGCTCAGCTTGGAGTAAAATGTGTCCTTGAAATCACACAATATCAATTCAACTGGACTAGATTTCGTCAGGTAAAGTTGTAGATTAGAGCATTTCAAGTGGATTATATTAGCTGGGTATCATTAAAATATACAGTGTACTTCCAGTACAACAGCCAGTGTAGGCTTTTAAAAAAAATAGAACTCAATATTTCATACAAGAATAATAACATGCGTCTATGAATGTATTATGTGTTGTTTAATAGAATACTTTAAAATGTAGTTGCTAACTTAAGTTTATTTCTTGTATGATGTTTCACAGTAAAAGCGGTGTGATGCTTGTATTACGAAGGTGTGATTGTAAATAGAGTTGTTAATATTTGTATTCTTATAGTTGTAGACTTGCTTAGACAGCACTAATGTGCACCATGATAAGATAAGATAACCTTTATTAGTCCCACACGTGGGAAATTTGTTTTGTCACAGCAGGAAGTGGACAGTGCAAAAGTTATGATAGTAATCCAAGTTGTAATTGTAATGAGGACAATGGAGGAAAAAAGCGCTTTAATAATAAGGACATTATTGTGAATGACAGAGTGGTGAGTGAGAGGAAGGAGCTCTTGTGTGTTGCTGTGGTGGCTCTGAGAAGAGCCGTTGTTGAGTGTGAGAGCGGTGTCAGCTCACTTCTTCTTGGCTGCTGTGGCCGCCTTCTTGACTTTGGGCTTGGCGGCCTTCTTGGCGGGGGATTTCTTTGGTGCGGGAGCCTTCTTGAGCACCTTCTTGGGGCTCTTTGCTGCTTTCTTGGGGCTTTTGGGCGCTTTCTTGGCCGCCGCTGCGGGCTTCTTGGCCTTCTTGGGCGACTTCTTAGCGGCTGCGGGCTTCTTAGCTGCTGCGGGCTTCTTAGCTGCTGCCTTCTTGGGCGACTTCTTAGCTGCTGCTGCCGGTTTTTTGGCTTTGGCCGCGGCGGGCTTCTTGGCTTTAGGAGCGGCTTTCTTTGCGGGCTTCTTAGCTTTGCTCTCAGTAACCTTCTTGTTCATCTTGAAGGATCCGGAGGCCCCGGTGCCCTTGGTCTGCACCAGAGTGCCCTTCGCCACCAGGCTCTTGATGGCGGTCTTGACGCGGGCCTTGTTCTTGTCCACATCGTAGCCTCCGGCAGCCAGAGCCTTCTTGAGCGCGGCTGCGGACACGCCGCTGCGCTCCTTGGAAGCGGCCACGGTTTTCACAATCAGCTCGCCCACGCTGGGGCCGACCTTCTTGGGCTTAGAAGCCGTCGTCTTCTTCTTCTTGGCCGCCTTGGCCGGGACGGCAGCAGGTGCGGGAGCTTCCTCGGACATTTTCCTCTTTCGCGTCTGATCGAGATTCACGGTACAGTGATGGCAAGTCGGAAGCGCCACGCTGCACTTAAACGCATCATGAGAACCGTTGAGAGTGAAGGCAGCGCGCGCAGCTCTTGCGCGTGCCTCGCAATGCTTCATTTTGTGTTTCGTGTCTCGGGATCAAAGAGCTTAAAGTGAGTGTGAGAGCAGCACTGCAGGTCGACAGTGGAGCAGTCCACAGCGGGCTTGTGTCTCCTCGTACAGGCCTCGTGTCGGGCTCTCTGCTCTCGGTTCGTGGAGCTCCCAAAGCTCGGCGACTCGGTGCGGAGCTCAGCGCTGCTCGGCGGCTTCTTGGACTCTTTTCTCTGCTAAAACCGGTGGAGCCGCAGCAGAGCTCCGTAAAAAGCCTTTTCTAGCTGATACACATGTTTGTTCACGCACTCCGAGTTAAAAGCAGCATCTGGTGAGCGCAGCTGTGGGACAAAGTGACGCTGCGAGGTCCCAGCAAACACACCGATGCTGCTGGAGGCCCACGGAGCAGCGAGACTTGTGTGACAGCTGCTCACTTCTAACCAAAGCACAGTTTCACTCACATTGTTGTACAGAAGCTTCATTAGTGACCTTACAGCAGCTCGCTTCCACACTTTGGCTCTGATCTCTTAGTCTGCATTGACTCAGTTTCCTTCTACAGTTACTGACTCTACAACAACAGCAGTGAATGAACACGTGAATACACACACCCACAAACTGATCACTGCGTATCTCAATGTGTAATACTCAATACCTGCTAAAAACACACAGCCATCTCACTGTTAATCACTCTTTCGCTATTAGTCAAATTATTTTATCCTTGTATCTATTCTATTTATTATTATCATAATATAATAAGGTTGTTGTTATTATTTGTTATTTATTTTATCCTGCTCTGCCCATGTGGGTGCATTTCCCAGCTCTGGCACTAATAAAGCTTGTCTCATGCCCAGTATATCTGCTCCTCTTTCTGGAGGATTCTGTTATTATCCCACCTACTGAAAAATATGTGACCACAATTTTTTTTTGTGCATAAGTCAAATCCTGAACAATACCCCTGACCCACACCATCATGTGCTGACCAGTCACTGGAGTGTGTTTAGTGAGAGACTGAGATGACCAAAAATCCCCTCTGAACACCACAGGAAATCATTCCTACCTCCTGTACAACTCCATCTTATGCACAGCACTTACTACAATAGTTGCATTATATAAAAGGTGGCTATGGAGCCATCAAATTAGGAGTTAGATTGAAGAAAGCTTTGATGGAAATTCCTCTGGGAATTGCAGAAAGCTGGATGTGAAGGACACAGCAGGGCCTGCCTGTGGCATAGGCAAATGCTAACAGTGTCATCCATCCAGGGGCACCACAAGTGAGGAAAAAACAATTAAAATGCTTTGTTGATGCTAGTTTTGTGCCAAAGCATTTTAATCTAATGACTGCTCAACTTTGCATGTCAGAAGAAGAAAAGTACACTTTGAACTAAAACCAAGTGTTAAATAAAAAGTCGCATTAATTGTGTTCGTAGAAAGACAAAGTGACTACAAAGTAAAAACCGGAACACATTTCTGTTGACTGGGGGTCGGTACAGCGGATTGATAGCACCCAGTGACACAAAGGTGCACATCCGCGATTACAGTAGTTGTAACATAGTGAGCTGCATGTTTAACAGTTGGAATTCTGCTCGTCAGTATGACGTGTGTGGCTCTGAAAAGAGCCGTTGTGTTGACGTATGAGATGCAGTCAGTTTACTTTGAGCTCGTGTACTTGGTGACGGCCTTTGTGCCCTCAGACACGGCGTGCTTGGCCAGCTCACCGGGGAGTAGGAGGCGCACTGCGGTCTGGATCTCCCTGGAAGTGATGGTGGAGCGCTTGTTGTAGTGGGCCAGGCGAGATGCCTCGGCTGCGATGCGCTCAAAGATGTCGTTGACAAACGAGTTCATGATGCTCATGGCTTTGGAGGAGATCCCGGTGTCGGGGTGGACCTGCTTCAGCACCTTGTACACGTAGATGGCGTAGCTCTCCTTCCTGGTCTTTCTCTTCTTCTTGCCGCCCTTGCCGGCGGTCTTGGTCACGGCTTTCTTGGAGCCCTTCTTGGGCGCGGACTTGGCGGGTTCAGGCATTTTCTCTCCTCGATACTCTACAGTAACGAATGAGCTGTTTGACCGAGAGCGGCGCTTTTTATACAGGCTGTATGCTAATACCACTGCGCGGGCCCTCGGATCTCATTGGTGGAGCCGCACAGTGGGCCGGACGTTGTGTTGGAGGGAGTTTGTGAACTTTGCTGAAACAGGCGCGCATCTAACAAAGACAGTGGGCTGTGTGATTGTGTCCTCGTTTGCTGACAGTCATTTGTTCTAAATGAGCAGTACATGTGGAGCTCTGTGTGGCAGATATGGATGTGTTAGTAGCAGTAATGTCTTCGGACAACAATGCAATCATTTTACTAACAATTCTGCCTTGTTTCATGTTTCTGTAGCGCCCATGTAACATGGTGATAGTCACAGTTTACGCTCACCAGCACACAGCTTTAAAACTGAGTTTTAGCTCTCAGTGGAGATTAAACACTGGGCATAATTAGGTAACTGCATAGTTTTACTGAAGTCTAATGTCTCACTGGAGCACACATATTAGACTGAACCCCCTCTCTCTATATATATATATAGGGTACAGGAACATCTGTGCCGAGTATAACCTGGAAGTCCCGAGGTCAAAATGGGAGATGCCCCCAAGGGTGGTGGAGAATGACCGAGCTAAGATCCTGTGGGACTTCCAGATACAGACGGACAAAATGGTGGTGGCTAACCAACCGGACATAGTGGTGGTAGACAAACAGAAGAAGACGGCCGTAGTGATCGATGTAGCGGTTCCGAATGACAGCAATATCAGGAAGAAGGAACACGAGAAGCTGGAGAAATACCAAGGGCTCAGAGAAGAGCTCGAGAGGATGTGGAGGGTGAAGGTAACGGTGGTCCCCGTGGTAATCGGAGCACTAGGTGCGGTGACTCCCAAGCTAGGCGAGTGGCTCCAGCAGATCCCGGGAATAACATCGGAGATCTCTGTCCAGAAGAGCGCAGTCCTGGGAACAGCTAAGATACTGCGCAGGACCCTCCCAGGCCTCTGGTAGAGGACCCGAGCTTGAAGGATTGACCGCCCACAGGGGCGTGCTGGGTGTTTTTTGGTTTTTTTTATATATATATAGAGAGAGAGAGCGCCCACGGGAACATGGGCAAAAGGGCAAAAGTATTCATTTGGTGATTTATTATAATATGTAAATGCTGTTCTGTTTCATTTTAATCTGCTGCCGAGTCTCTTTGATGCTGATGGATAACACAGAGCACACAGCAAGAACACCTGCTCAACCAATCACATTCATTCCACTTTGATTTGCACAAACTCAAGTGCCCGTCTCTCATCTTTCTTTTAACAACAGTGTTGTGTTTGAGTGGTAGATTTTAATGATCTCTATATTGTCGAGTTTGACATCTCTGGAAGAGTTGGCAGTAATAAGGATCATTTTCTGTGGGAGAACAAAGATATGACCCGTGAATCAGATTCATAGATGACAGTTAGATTAGTTTTGTGAACGCTTATCTTATTTATTTATTTATTTTTATTTTTTTCTGAACTGAAGCCCTGCATGTGATGAGTGGGTCTCAGCCTTAACTCCAGCTTTGCCTTTGTTTGTTTTTTTAAAAATTAAACTTCATTAAAGTGTGCAAATTAATTCAATTTCAATTTTATTTATATAGCTCCAAATCACAACAAAAGTCGCCTCAAGGCGCTTCATAGGTACAGAGAAAAACCCAACAATCATATGACCCACTATGAGCAGAAGTGGGTCAATTATCCAAAAATTGTACTCAAGTAAGAGTAGAGTACTTTAAAATATTATTACTCAAGTAAAAGTGAAAAGTAGATGTCAAAAAAGTTATTCAGGTAAGAGTAAAAAAGTACTTGGCGAAAAGACTACTCAAGTAGTGAGTAACTGTTTGAAATGTCCGATTTATTTTTTAAATAAATTTTATCAGACAAACAAAAATAAATAAATATACAAATATTACCATTTTCAAAAGGAATATATGTAAAAACATCAACAAAATAAGGCACAACAATTCTAATTTCCAGATTTCAGTTTTTCACAACATAAAGCTTTTTTCACCAATACCTACAGTAAATAATATAAATATATAAACAGTGCAAACAATTTCCAGTGACAAGCTATGCTGTAAACTTTATATTCATTTTTCCTCCAAATGGCACAGCAGCCTCAGAGAAAACATTAGAACGAGGCATCTTCAACATATGTTCATACAAGGCAGCTCAGTTTACCATAAGTTTTATGGGTGTGCATCTATTTCTGCATATTTAACAAAAATGTGCCCTTTCTTCACTCAGTGAAGTGATGGTTAAGCATCAGCAGCAGTTTGCTCTCAAGGTTCTACTAAAAAGTTACCGGAAACTCCACTGGCGGCATGTTATCTAATGTGTTAAACTATTTTTTTTTTTTAAGTAACGAGTCGAATTTTGCAAATGTAGCGGAGTAAAAGTACCGTTTCTTCTTCATAAATGTACTCAATTAAAAGTAAAAAGTATCGTTCAAAAAGGTACTTTAAAAATAAATTTTTTAAAAAAACTTACTCAAGTAAATGTAACGGAGTAAATGTAACTCGTTACTACCCACCTCTGCCTATGAGCAAGCACTTTGGCGACAGTGGGCAGGAAAAACTCCCTTTTAACAGGAAGAAACCTCCGGCAGAACCAGGCTCAGGGAGGGGCGGGGCCATCTGCTGTGACCGGTTGGGGTGAGAGAAGGAAGACAGGATAAAGACATGCTGTGGAAGAGAGACAGAGATTAATAACAGATATGATTCAATGCAGAGAGGTCTGTTAACACATAGTGAGTGAGAAAGGTGACTGGAAAGGAAAAACTCAATGCATCATGGGAATCCCTGGCAGCCTACGTCTATTGCAGCATAACTAAGGGAGGATTCAGGGTCACCTGGTCCAGCCCTAACTATATGCTTTAGCAAAAAGGAAAGTGTTAAGCCTAATCTTAAAAGTAGAGATAGTGTCTGTCTCCTGAATCCAAACTGGAAGCTGGTTCCACAGAAGAGGGGCCTGAAAACTGAAGACTCTCCCTCCTATTCTACTTTTAAATACTCTAGGAACAACAAGTAGGCCTGCAGAGCGAGAGCGAAGTGCTCTAATAGGGTGATATGGTACTATAAGGTGAATAGTAGTATAATTCATTCTTAATTCAGAATTATACTTTCTGTTACCTTTTCTCTCCAATCCTCTGTGCTTGCTGATCACAATATACTTGATACCATTTCTTCATTAAATCATACATTTTAAAAGTAAGATTATCTGAAATCACTGACACTTTTGTGCCATCTTCACTCCCATCCCCCCATCCGACATTAACAAACACGCTCCAAGGTCGAGCCAAATACAAAATTAAAATCATCAAATTTTGCCAATAGGTGAACTTTATCTATATGAGACTTAATAAAATTCACTCAACTTTTTGATGAGAACCTGGACCAGATGTAATTAGTAGAAGAGGGGCCTGAAAACTGAAGGCTCTCCCTCCCATTCTACTTTTAAATACTTTAGGAACAACAAGTAGGCCTGCAGAGCGAGAGCGAAGTGCTCTAATAGGGTGATATGGTACTACAAGGTCATTAAGATAAGATGGGGCCTGATTATTTAAGACCTTGTATGTGAGGAGCAGGATTTTGAATTCAATTCTGGATTTAACAGGAAGCCAATGAAGGGAAGCCAAAACAGGAGAAATATGCTCTCTCTTTCTAGTCCCTGTCAGGACTCTTGCAGCAGCATTTTGGATCAGCTGAAGGCTTTTTTGGACATCCTGATAATAATGACTTACAGTAGTCGAGCCTAGAAGTAATAAATGCATGAACTGGTTTTTCAGCGTCACTCTGAGACAGGATATTTCTAACTTTAGAGATGTTGCGCAAATGGAAGAAAGCAGTCTTACATATTTGTTTAATATGTGCGTTGAAGGACATGTCCTGGTCAAAAATGACTCCAAGGTTCCCACAGCGTTACTGGAGGTAGCATAAAGGTAATGTAAAGGACTTCTTGTATACAATTGAAAATGAACTGGAAATTTTGAAGATGTGGTTTGATATCAATAAATTGTCCCTTAATTTCAAGGAGATTGAATTCACGCTTTTTGTGAGTAGAAAAGAATATGAATGAATATGAATATTTCTACATAATTTACTTCAACTTCTGCTAGCAACACTACTGAGGTGACTATAGGTCAGGAGGTGGAGCAGGTCATCTACTCCATCTTAGCCTTCAGCTCCTGTCAAGTTAAACCGATTTTAAAACAAATGAAAATAGCCACCGGTGTATAAGGACCTCGGCCCAATAGCCAGAAATCCACCCAGGCAAAGCAGCAGTTCGGCAATCTCTAAATTAAAGCAGGACATCACTTACACTGAACAGCTGACCTCAGCAGGAATATCCCTCCCACCCTGCTTCATATCTAGGGTTAGGGTCACACCCTAATAAGTAACGGCAAGTGATGGCTGGAGTCTACTACAAGCTTCTCCGCAGGAATAATGTACAGGACTCCAGCAAAATCAAGGCGATGGTATTTTCCGCTGTTTGGCATCTCAAATGCCTGGCTTGTTCACAAGAGGGACTGTGCCCTACTGAATGTGAAACCGCTCCCTGTCAAAAGGTTTTGTCTAGCAGTTTCCATCAAAGGTTGGTCGACCATCATCTTCTTCTCCACCTCAAATGTTGCCTCAGCAGAAACATTTCACCCCAAGACCTTCACATCCACAACAAGATGTGCGTTATGACAACTTGGGACACCTGCCACTTCACTCTGACAACCGAGGCCGGTGTAACCTCTGTCCAAAGGGAGTGTCAAGGTGAAATTGTCAGAAGTGCAAAGTGTTTCTGTGAAGAATGCCCACCAGCAGTGCTTTGTTGCATATCACCAGAAATAAAGGAAATCTAACGCCTCTAAATCTCAATGGCAGTGGGTTCTATAGCACTACAACTCTCTTTTATATGTTCAGTGTACTCTGCTGCGAAGTTGCAGAAGTTTATAAGTTTTATTAAACTTTAAAAAAAAATATTTTTTGTATTCTGAGT